TTTTAAGTAACAAATGATTCCTAACACTAACTATTTACAACCAGCCTTCAATTTTGGATGTAGGAATTTGGAGCTTTAATTAAGCTTTTCATTTGATAAGAGCAACACCAAGCCATTGTCTTTTGGGCATATACCCTTTACCTTCCCATACCATAGGGGCATGCATGAAGACAAATCTTGCTAATGTACAATGAATGTAAGTCGGTTGTGTGGATCATTGGAATATATTGGATTGATTAATTTTATATTTTCTTCTTCTTCTTTCTTCTCATCTTTCTTTATCTCTTGAGTAAAACAAAGACCCACCTAACTTTACATACATTGTATTTGGGAAGAGACTTAGAAATAAAACAAAGGGCAATCACATGCTTATTGATTGCATTGGAAAAACCATGGATGCTTCATATGTTTCATTGTTTTTATCTAAAAAAGAGTTGATGTTCTCTTTTTCATTTTTAGTTGGGAATTACATGAGGGACTTGGTTCTTGAATTGGTAAAGTAGGGTTCTAATTAGTCTATTGGCTTGCGTAGGAAACAGACATTATTTAAGTTGAAAGATTAATTGGTTTTTTAATTGGAGGCATGAATCTTGTGCCTAACAAAAAAAAAGGCATAAGTCTTGTGATTATGTATTAATTTGTTGTTTTCGGTGTCAATTCTATGTGATTTTCAGTCATCACCTAAGGGGGTTGTTGAGGAAGACATGCTTTTATAGATGCTTGTAAAAAGCCCCCCAAAAAAATAAAATAAAAGGTAAGGGCTTGTTCTTGGTTCCATACATTGATCTTAAACCAAAGATGAGAAATTTGAATTGATTCCAATATTCTGCCATCTTTTCCTTTGAAAGTAACTAATAACAACTATAAGTCATCATTTCATTTATGTATGTACGAAAAAATTTTATATTTTTTTAATAACATGAATATTTGAAGTTTTTTGCTAAACTAATTTTACAAATATTTATAAACTATTTCATCTATATATATCAAGAAAATCTTTATAGAGAATAAGTATGATTTATTAAAATTCTTTATACTTAAGTACCAATAGAGACCTTGCATTTCATGGAATGATGGAAGTTCCCCTAAGCCAACCATTCAGGATATACACTGTATAAAGGAGCAATTATCATTAGTTATCATAAGCCATCCTCTTTTCTTTTCTTTTTTTTTTTTTTCAAATGGTTTTGGACAGAATATTTTAGAAAATTAATTTTTTTTTACAAAATATAAAATATAAAATTTAAATCTGATTTATAAAATAACACTTTATTTATCAATATACTATTTAAGTATTAGGGTTATCCCTTTCTTCTCTTTTTCCCAATTTATAGGCTGTTTACTCAATTCAAATTCAAAATATATAGGCTATAAATTGTCATCTTAAATTTGAATCTTGAGAAACAAAAAAATTATCGATTATCATATAAATAATAATGGATCAGATCAATTAATTTGGGGAAGCAAATCGAAATTCTTTATTCCCTCTCCTACATGGAATAAGCTACTTGTCCTGTAATTTAAAAAAAAAAAAAAATCGAAGCAACACCACTCAAATCAAATCCTAATAAACGTAAGTGTGTTTACAATCAAAAGTTATTCTCTTTTATTATTTTATCCCCGAATATAGAGTATATATATAGACGACAATATGATTAATTAATACTATAAAAGAATTATTTACTACCTATTACTTTTTGATTTCCACTTAGACCAAAAATTTTGTAGAAGTTATGCCCTAAGAAATACTCCACTGTACATTGTAAATCAGCAATATTAAATTACTCCAACATCAATAATTTCAACAGATCATGTATCCAGCATGTGTTAGTTGCAAAAAGGATAAATATTTTAATTAGTTTGACAATTAGAATAACTTAATGGTCAATGACAATAAAACTCCACATAAAGCATTGTGAGAGTCTCGAAAAATTTTCAATCAATCAGGTTGATGAAAATTTGTGACTGAATCTAAGAGGAGGAGAGAGTTACTTTCAATTGTAGACTTTTTTCAATGTGTGTTGAATATAAACATTTCTTATAAGATTAGTTATGTATCAAGATCAAGTTAGTTTAATTGTTACTAGCTAGATTTTTGGTTAGACAATATTTCCTCAAATATCTTAAAGTGGGTCATTGAGATTATCCAATGCAGATTAACAACCCATTATGTAAGAAGGCATCTTTCTTTTGTAAATTGTTTGAAAGGTTCTCACTTTATTCATTGGCACATGGCATCACTTAAAAAATGTAATTTATGGTGTAAATAAACAGTAAAAGTGATCACTACTTTAAAATTATTCACTAATTAAACGATCCTAATGTATTGCAATCAAATAATAAAATTCTTTTCGTAGGTTGTGTTTGAGGGTAGACGAGAAAGAGAAATTTCTCTATTTATTAAAAGGGATTTGGAGAGGAGATGATTGAAGGAGCTTTTCCTTATTTTTACTTTAATTTTTTTTTAATATTTTCATCTAATTAAACGAGAGGAGGGGATGAGAGGGTAAGGTAGAAAATTAAAAGGAAAATGATATCCTTCTATTTTCTCTTTAATCTGTTTCTCTCCAACCAAACAGAAAGTTAATGTCAAGTGAATAATAGGAATGCAGTTAGGGTGCACGTGAGTAGCCTAGTGTTAAAGTAGGCCTGCAGTTACTGGGCTCCATTTGACGGTCCAGTCATCAGTGTTAGTTATTCGATTCAAAATGATATATGGGATATGGCAATAGGCCGGCCTTCACCAAACCCTTTTAAACTTTTTGATTAACACCTCATTTTGGCCCTTCTATTTTAATAAAAAAAAATTATTTTTAATCTTTTTATTTAAAAAATTAGTTTGGAGTCCCTAAAATTTAAAATCCACCCGCTTTTTAGTCTGTTTGTTACTTTTTGCACATGTAACACATTAAATGACGAAAATTCTAAAGTAAAGAACTTAAAAAAAGATTAAAAAAACCTTTTTTTTTGTCCCTCTACTTTAAAAAAAGTACTTTTAATTCCTCTATTTGGAATTTCTATAATTTAACATGACATTTATACAAAAAGATAACAGAAAAACTAAAAAATGGTTGGGTTTTAAACTTGAAAGACCAAAAAAGGGTTTTTTTAAGTAGAGTGACTAAAGAGGGCTTTTCATTAAAGTAGAGTGACCAAAAAGGAATTTTAACCTTGCTTTTTTTAGCTTGATCCAGCCCGTTAAAAATTTACTCTTTCCTAAATCTAAAGAACAGGGCTAATAGTGGACCAGATGCTACGGCCCAAAAATAATAGATCACACGCTACAAGAAAAAGGCCCAAGGAGCAATTTTTAATTTTTAATTTTTTTTTATAAAAACCAAAATTTCTTCCCACCCAAACCCGGAATGTTCAATTCCGGCTCCCGCCAAAATTAATTATCCGTCCAGCCACGCTGGCAATCCGCGCACCCCAAAAAGACAATTTTCCATCCCAACCTTTCATTTTCAGATTACCATCCACGATCCGCGTGATCCAAAAGCAACCAATCAGCGTTCAGCTTAACCTCTCTATATAAACCCAAACCCCAAACTCTTTCCTTCTCACCATGCTTCAATTTCTCAGTCTCTTTCTCCGGCGATAGACTTACCTTCTCTCACACTGCAACCATGAGCACTGAGGAAAAGGCAACCAAGGGTGGCCGAGGCAAGTCCAAGGCCAAATCCGTCTCCAGATCTCACAAGGCCGGCCTCCAGTTCCCCGTTGGCCGCATCGCTCGTTTCCTCAAGAAAGGTCGATACGCTGAACGCGTCGGTTCCGGTTCTCCTGTCTATCTTTCTGCCGTTCTTGAATACCTTGCTGCTGAGGTAGGCAGATTGAGTTTTTCACTTTCTAGAGTTCGGTAATGACGTTTTCTTCGAGTATTTTTTTTTTTCTTTTTTTGGTTGATTTCGTGTTCTGGTTTGGCGATTAGGTTCTGGAACTTGCTGGAAATGCGGCGAGGGATAACAAGAAGAATCGAATCATTCCAAGGCATATCCAGCTCGCAGTGAGGAACGATGAGGAATTGAGCAAGCTTTTGGGAGGAGTGACGATTGCAAATGGAGGCGTTTTGCCTAATATTCACCAGAATCTGCTGCCGAAGAAATCCGGTAAAGGAAAGGGCGAGATTGGATCTGCGTCCCAGGAATTCTAGGGATTCAGTGGTTAATTAGGCATTTTGATTGTTGATAGGATGTGATTAAGCTAATTATCAGACGTGTAAATCTCCTCCTGGTAGATTGAATTTTGGTTCAGATGTTTTGGTCGTGGAATGGAAATATAATTTTATGAATTTGCAGAAAATTTTTTGATATACAGTATATGATTGAAATATATGCTTATGAAATATTAATTATAAAAATGTTGATAAAAATGCAATAATAATATTTTATAATAAATGTAAAAACAAAATATCATTTTTAATATTAATATTATTTAAATAATTTTAATTTGTTAATTGGTAAATTTAAAATTAATTTTTATTTTTTATATAAATTAATTAAAAAATACAGTTAATACTT